CTCATCTCCTACCCCTTCAAATATCTTCAACCAGTTGTCTCCCTCACGGCCTGATACGACTTTACCTATTCCCCAGAATTATAGTATTCATTCCCAGCCACTGCAACTTAATTCCTCATCAAGATGCACAAATTATAGGTCTAATTCCTACTCTCCAAGACCTAAGCAGTCTGCCACTTCACCAGTACTAAACTGCAGGTCTCCTGTCTCAGACAAGTCACCATGCACACTGCTATCAAGACCCAGAGAGCTGACCTCACCACAATCTTTTTCCCTGCCTTCTGACCATGAAAACATCAGACCCAAGGTACTCTTAGTGCATGCTTATTTTCTAATAGTGCTTTGTCCCCATAGGAAATAACGACACCCATATTGCACAATGATAGAAAAATGAATGAGCTGGGTAAAAGTGTTAAAAAAAGAACCGTTGCTATCTTGATAGTGAAGACTTTAAATGCTACTATACCAAGTTGCTAGCAACACATTCTGCATTATGGAGAAGAAACTGTAGGGATGATCTAGCATAAAAATAAAATGCATAGTAGATCAGTGGAAGGAGATATTAGTGTAGATGGATTTGTGTGGGACTTTAAATGCATTTCATGCACTTTTTTATTTTTGAAGCTCACCTAATACAGCAGTGTGCTAAAAAGAAAACCATAAAACATTTTCTGTACTCCCCAAGCTAATGTAAATCCATATGCATTTCCACTGGAAATAGTGAAAATATGGTGATTTTTTAGGAGCAGGGTTGAGTTAGAAGCAGCTTAAGCTGCCTGCTATGATATCAGCTCCTGTTGTGGCCATGCCCGTTCTCTTCAGCGCGGTCCCCTGCCCTGGAGGTGGCTTGAACGGGATCTCCCATCAGTTCTTCCTCTCCTGCCAAGCTCAGCCTCACCAGGTGCTCTGCTTTGCATCCCCAGCTTTTGCAGCCCCTAGTCTTGTGTCCTGCTGCAGGAGGTGGTTGAGGCATCGTTGGCCATGCTCTGAGCTGTCGGCCACCCTGCTCCGGCCACCTGGCTGCCCCCCTTCCGCCTGCTCCTACACTATCTTGGCAGCCAAGTACTGACTTGCTTCAGTGCTGTTGTCATGTTGGGCTAGAGAGAGAGCAAAAAACCAACCCAAAGCACAAGCTTCCAATGACATGTACTACTGTAAATATGAAAGTCTCACACTTGGCAAATGAGCCACACTCCAGATGCTTGTCATCCATGAGGAACAGGGGAGAGTCCAGCCGGGTGAGAATAAGCAATGATGGCAACTGCTGCAGGAGGGCCTGGGCTCCAACTATGTTTTAAATGCAAAGATAAAATTTAAGAATGTACAGGGGAAGGAAAGAGAAGCAGGTAAAAATACGCAGTAGATAGGTCCCTGTGAAAGCAAAAGGAACTGCTGTGCATGAAGAAGGGCATGGTGGCAGAAGATAGCTGAGCTGCAGAAGCCTTCCAGCCTCTTCTGTCTTGCCTCTGCTTCCTTTACATTTCCTCATGCTGATATCTGAGCTCTCCTCTGGCAGAAAGGGGGTACTACCCGGCACAGAAAGCCTATCATAGCTCATTGATTTATTTGGTAACAGCACAAATGCATAGCCTGGTCTGCCAGATCAAGTTGTGTCAGATGTGTTCCTAACAGCTTGGTCATGGTAGAAGGGACTTGAACTGCTTGCAAAATATTAATTGAAAATGAGAGGCTTAAATCAGCACAAAGCAGCAATTGTCACAAAGGGTTCTTTAAAATAAAATAAAAAACCCAAAGGGAACCATTGTACCACGCACAGCTGCACCGTGTCGCTACACCCTGTCAGTATTACTTAATGAAATAAAAAGAGAAATGAAATTGTAGAAATTCCAAGAAAAAAAAAAGGCTCTGAGACAAAATTGTGAGGCATGACTGGGCCTGCAGTGTGCAAAGCAGTTACATTTTCTGCCACAGTCAATGCATGGTGCACTGCCAGACTCCGGTGAAGGAAGGTGTGAGTTGCTCGAGCTCCAGCTGTGACACATCACACACACATCAACTGCCTACATTTATATTTGCAGAGCCACCCTTTCTGTCCTCTCTCCTGTCAATTTTCCTACTAGTTATGCTCCAAAGATGATACAGTGACACTCAAAACCACCCCACTATCCCTATAAGATTGGGAGAACACCCTTTATTTTAATAGATCCCAATGGTTAGTCTGGTGCAATTTTTAATTATATGGCCAAATCTGACTCTGCTGGGCATATAAAAGATCTGAAACCTTTAAATCAAACGCAGCCAGGATATTCGGGGCAGAATAGACCCCTTTTGGTTTTAAAATATGAGGCTGTGAGATTAACATCATGCATTCAACACTCCCCTTTCCTTCTGCTCTCCTTTATTTGCATGCATAGTTTATGAAAGAGTGCAACAGACTTCTGTTTTGCTCATTTGTTAATGTTACCAGACTCTCTGCTTACTCTGCAATCATGAATCTCACTATATTTCTAGATGAAGAGCCAGTTGCTCCGTCAGATGGCTGTTGATGCATGACAAAATCTTTATGTGTACGTTGTCGCCAAGTGAACGTCAGGGGAAAAGTGTAACATTTAAAAGTGCTTGACTTTTACATGTGTAATTTTGCAACCTTACTGTTGCTTCAGCTACTGTTGAGGCAAAATTCAGAAGGCACCTATTAAATCAGAATCTTTCAAACTACAGTTTTGACATTGAATGTACATTTCAGCATTCACATAAATTGTTTCCTTAGCACAATGTCAAAGCAATTACGTTTTCACATGGCTTGCAGAAAGGATTCTTTCATGGAGAGCTTTTATATATGGATGTCTATGCCTATGCCAGTTCATGGAAAACAAAGTATAGCCTATGAACTTATTCAAGTATTTGCATCCGTGTATGTATATAAATGCATATACTTTCAGATGCTTTATATTTTAGGACATTTATGTTTACCAGCGTTGTACTTTTTAAAAATGGGATGTCATTCCTATATGTTCTTTGATTTTTCCTATTACATTTAGCACAGGAGTGCATACAGAGCTGCTCAAACCAGATTGCGAACAAACTAATTGTAGCAACAGCTCAGCACAGCTGCTAAACCTACCACAAAGCAGGAAAGATTAGTCATGAGGATCTCGACACCGCCATGGTTAGTCGCTGCTTTTAAGCCTTTACAGGTCTGTGTCTGGCACTCTGTAGCAATGCCCTGTGGGTGTCATTAGTGCTCATTTGAGCACAGCATATAGGACATTTTTGCAACAGCTCTCCAGGTTGATATTTGCCCCAGATTTAGCTATGGAATTGCTTGCTGCTGTTTATGCCATAGTGCAGGTCAGCAGACATGACTGTTTGTGGACATTTAAAAATGCTGCTGTATTCCTAGGAACCAGATTATTAAGTATATTTAGGCATTGAAGAATGCATGGGTGATTGGCTCCTGGGTCCTGAAAAAATTTGCAGAGTGCTTTAACATTATATGCTGCATACCTGCTATTAAAGAATAGTGTCAATGGCTAAATAAGTAATGTCTGGTTATTATGGATAGAATAATTATTATGGACAGAATTACAGGTTGAATTTTATTAGTTGACTATACTTATGTGCCAGTATTTAGGCTGCTGAAAGAGGTGAGAGGAATACAATTTCCATTAACTGTATATGCTCTAGTGGTTCCAAAAGTCAGTGCCAATCCACAAAGACAGTATGAACAATTTTTAATGGGTCCGATCTCCTGCTATTTGCAATAGTCAATATTTTTCAATTGATTGCCATGTGAATGTAACCAGACTCGGGTTAATAAATACCAAAGTAAAGAAAATTAAATTAGTTATGCTAATCATTTAAAGTATGGCAACATAATGTGTCAAGAAATGAATTCCTATAGAAGAGTTATTTAATTAATTATTTTCCATTAATCTTAAACATCTTGATTTTGATAACTGCACATTGCTTGCAGGTTCTACAGTACTTGGAAGTACTAAGGCAAATTGGAGCAGAATACTAACCCTTATATTTTAATAGTTTAATATGTCTTAGTTTAGTTCATAAACCAGTATGATTAACATTAAAGTAGTCCAAGACCAAAGCTTTTCACTGGAATATTGCTGAAAAGGGAAAGTGTGTTGCAAATATATATTTTAATGTTTACAAGAGAAAGTTTTCCAGTAGTCATGTGATTAAGAGTCTTTGCTCTTGGACTCTTGCAAGTATAGAAATATCTCAATGTTCACTTAAACTGAATATATAACCTATGATTGTAAAGAAGAAGAGATAAGTATGATTTCTAAGAGTTAGAAATCACCGGGCAAATTAACATAGTCTGAAATATAAATTCTTTAAAATGAATAATTTTTAAACTTGATCTCAGAATTTTTGCTTCCCAAAACATACACTTGATATGGTGTAGCTTGTCAGCTCGGACACCTATAAAAGCTTCTATAGCTGTCTTGAAACATTTCTAGGGTAGATTTACTTATTCACAAGGTAAAAGGCAGTACCATATGAGTTAAATTATCTTTCCACTAATGTAAGTAATTCAGAAAATAAAGATCCTAATCACTCTCACTAAACTAGCCACAGAAAAGCCTCCGACTTCAGCAGCCCAGACACACCTGGTACAGCAGTAGTTTAAGATGCAGATATTGCCATAAGTAGCTTTCTGTTATCATTTCAAGTCATGACTGCACTTAGGAAAACCCTATAGCCTGTCCTGATTTTCCTTCAAGAATAGTAGTAGAAAGCAGGCCAAATCACTGGAAAAAAACATAAATTGGTACAAAGATTTCACTTCATTCCTAAACACAAAAGTTGTATGTTACAGACCTTTAAATTCTGAACAGAAACACTAGGCTGAAATAACCTTTCCAAGTAATCAGTAAGCATTGTATCATTGCAAGGTGCTTGTGAGACAATTACAATCGTCTTTCATTCTATCATACCCTCCCCTTTCTTCTCTCTCTCCTTCTGCCTCTACTGTCCTTTTTTACTTCTTTTCCTGCTTTCTGGTTTACCCCTTTTAGCAGTACAAGATCAAGACAAGCTACAAGGCATTTGCAGCAATACCTACAAACACATTACTAATGGAACAGAAGGTTAGTGTTTGCTCGGAGACATGGAAATTGCATTACGTATTTGAAAGTGTTCGACTTCTTTATGCACATATTCCAACGCTTCTGTCGGGGATATTGCGGAATACAAACTCTGTGAACTAACTGCTCAGGATTCAAACAATTTTTTAGGGTCAAGCATTTTTACTGAAGGTCAAAGTCTTCACTAATATGAATTTCTGTTTTAAAGTTTCAGGAAAATTCTCTCCTAAATGAACTGTCATTTATGGTAATATCATGGGAGACTGGGATAATTCTGGTGTATAACCCCTTTCCTACTCTCTCTCATCTTGAAGACGATGGATTAATCTGTTGATTCGCACTGACAGCTAATTAGACCACTCCTAAACTAATCCAATTGAGTTAGTTGATTTATCTTTATAGAATGGCTCTTAAAGGAAGCGTTAGGGCATCAAGGGCACACACAAGCTCCATTGTATTAAGCTTTAATATCCAAGTATTCTGTTCAGGCATCAAGGGAGAGAACTGGGAAGGAACTCATGTCATACTGTAGCTCAGTGAAAGTAGTTGAGGTGCAGACATTTTGTGCAAACATTGAATCAAAGAGAGAATGAGAGAGAGAGAGAGATTCCAGATGAATGGCTTTAACTACATAAATAATGATTTAATACCACGTAATTTTGGGATAAAGGCTATTCAGAGAAGAAGTTTTAACTACCTTTCTTTTAGTAAGGAAGACAGTTCTGCAATGCACAGATATTACTGAATTGCATGGTTAGGAATAGCATTGTGTTATGCAGCTGAACTGGAAATGCACGTTCTCAGAAGTCAGTGCTTTCCTACTGCTTAAGTGGAAGAAGTGGTTTCTAATTGTTTCTCAGGACCAGCGGCATGAATTAATATAGTGACATTAATTCGACTTGTATTGAGAAAAGATCAGAATTCTGGTGTGCAAGGTCAGGATGACAATTCTTTTGGAGTATGAATTAAATAACATAATAGAAAACTGACATTGATACCAACCAAAATATTATTTATCCAATTTTGTTAAGCCATAATAAACTGTGGTATTTTTTTCAGCTGTATTACCTTTAATAAAGAGACTTCAATTCTTCCTTAAAGCCAGCATAAATGGACACGTGTCTGTTATGTGTAGAGTAGAAATTGTGCATCTCCCTTGAGAAATATCATGAGTCAATAAATGAGTGTAACCTATTTCATGTAATATCAGAAAGAATTTAGGCTATGCTCACTGATTAGGAAATTCTGTCCTGGAAATATGTCCTTGAAAAGATTCAATAGTTTTTGTGGGTGAAGGGGATCTTGAAGTGTAGCTAAAAGGCCAATTTTGACTAACTATGGTCTCAGGCCACAGAAGGATAAGATTATGATAATGAACACTTCAGCCCTGAAGGCAACAGGATCCACTGCTAGAAGAGGAATAGGGAAAATTTTAATCAAGGAATTAAGCAAAAAAAAAAAAAAATTAACAGAGAGGATTAATTCAGCATTGCAATTTTTTTTTAAAGACCAAAATGAGCTCTCCATCACAAACCTTGAAAAATCAAGACAGAACACTTTTCTGCCACTTCATACAGTAATTCCAGGTAGTTCTGTGGTTTATAAAAAAGGTCAAACTAGGTGGTCATTATGGAACCTTCTGGGCTTGGTATTGTTGAATCAATGAGTCATCCCTCCACTGGCATTCACTCTTTAGTGTCTTATATAGTTATATGTGTGTGTATATATATATATATATATATGTAAAATGACAAACTAATTTAAATTTCCAGTCCTAATGAGGTATTATTTCCTTTTTCAAAAGTACTATATGTATCATCTAGGCAATGTATCTATCAAATGCCTGTAGAAATATCTTTCAAACAAAATGGATTATGATGAAGTATCTATGATTTCATGGAACTGAGATAAATTCCTAACTGTAAGTAGACGGTCCCTTAACCAACTCCTGCTTTGTCTTCAGAATTATGTCAATTTTAAGGTGTAACCTCAAAACTGCACTGTGTGCTTTGCGGGGGTTAGAACCATAGAATGCTCAAGGTTGGAAGGGCCCTCTAGAGGTCTTCTAGTCCAACCCCTCTGCACACGCAGGATCACCTAGAGCACGTGGCACGGGACTGCATCCAAGTGGGTTTTGAAGATCTCCAGAGAAGGAGACTCCACAGCCTCTCTGGGCAGCCTGTTCCAGGGCTCTGTCACCCTCACTGTTAAGAAATTTTTCCTTAAGTTCCTGTGGAACTTTTGATGCTTCAGGTTCCAGCCATTTCCTCTAGTTCCACCATTGAAAAGAGGCCAGCACCATCCTCCTCACTGCCTCCCTTGAGGTACTTATAGACACTGATCAGATCCCCTCTCAGCCTTCTCTTCTCCAGGCTGAACAGGCCCAGCTCTTTCAGTCTTTCCTCGTAGGGCAGATGTTCCAGGCCCCTGATCATCCTTGTAGCCCTGCGCTGGACTCTCTCCACATCCCTCTTATACTGTGGAGCCCAGAACTGGACACAATACATTGGTGGCAATGAGCCACCACAGAGAGGATCTCAAACCAGATTCAGATTTACCTGTTTGCTTTCAGCATAAGCATTACAAATTCTTCAGGCTCTGGTAAAAACAGCATCTTTACAAATTACAAATAGGAAAGTACAAATAAAGTTACAAATAGAAAAGTATTTTCTGAACAGTTAGTGTGAGTCCTGTGAGGGACAACAAGGGTTTGCTGCCCTTGTCCAGATATACGTCCCACCTGCCTTCTCGTATAGATGTTAAGGAAATCTGGGCATGTAGTGGGGGGGAATTGGTGGCCTGCTCAAAGCTCACCCAGTCTAGACCGTGGTAAAACCAGGATGATGCTGTGAGCTACATGATACACCTGACTTAAAGGCTGGACTTGCCCTGGGCGTACCAAGGCTCCTGAAAGCATTAGGTATAAATAGCTATGGGTGGAAGAGTTAAATGAAAGCACTGTTGGCTCATCTGGCTTGTATTTATTAACTAAGAACAAGTAGATTACTGTGATTTCAGATTTATATAAAACAAAGAAAAAAAGAAATCTTTCTTAAAGAAGAAATATATTACATCTTTGATTTTTCTTCTCTGTGGCTGTACTTTATCTTTTCTCTTGTCAAATTACCATTTGGCTAACTTCAAGAAAGTCTAAAACAGTCTTGCCAGATGACTTTACATTTCCATAGAAGCTTCAAATATCTAGGAAATACATCTCATTCTCTAAACAGAAGACTGGCTGCCCGTTTTGTATTTCTCTCATCAAAATTGCAGAGGATCTGAAATGCATTTTCCTCCTTATGCTGGAGAAAAATTGCTGAACAAACGTGGCAGTGATCACTGCGTTGGACGCCCAGCTTCAAGTTCCTGTCTTGAGGGAGTGTTTTTTCTATTGTATTACTAAATACCCTCTGGTATAGGTCAAGTCAAGCACAGATGAAGTCCCTCCTTGAAACCAAATATCAGGAACTTGGACACCATATTTGCCCCATCTCACATAACATGGGGCACTGCTGTACTGTTGTCTATTATCAAGTATGTCAAGTTGATCCTGGACTTGGAACCATTTCTGACAACATTTTGTAAAGAATATTTTGATACAAATAGATTGATTTCTTCCTCAGTTACTTCTGCGTGCATGTGATTTTCTTGCATGATTATTGCATATTGGTTTCTTGAGAGGAAAGTCTAGTAGTAAGAAAGAAAGGCAATCATTTGTGGAGTCCTGGATGACTTTAGTTGTACGTAGTTCATCTGTAACAATCGCAGAGCTTGCCAATGTAGGAGCAAATTCTGAGCTCCCACTTTCTTATAAAAGTGTAGTAGCCTTTAATATTATTAGTTCATAAGAGGAAAAGTGGTCAGACTTTTTCAGTAGAATGTTTAAGGAATGTTTAAGGAATGTTTAAGGAATAGTTAAGGGAATTGATGGTAACTGAAGTCCACAGAAGGATTTTTTTCATGTGCTGAGAGCTTGGGAAAAGATTTTGATGGGAAAAATATGCAGGAAAAATAAGTCAGAAAGACTTCCTATGCTTTGTTCACTAAGGGGTTTTGGTGAGTCACACAGAAAGAAGAAAGCTGTGGCAGATCCAACTTTTATTATTATTTTTCCTGTGATGGACATGTTTCCCTGGTGGATGTAAAGCTCATTCTTTTCCACATTTTGTCAAAACCTTTCATTATTTTACCAATATATTGGAGACTTTGTTCAGATCTTTTACCAGTCATACCTCTAACCTGATAGAGCTTTAGTGATCAAATAGCTTGCGGGAAGAAGGAACAGGCATTGTGGTCATCACCGAAGTCAATGGCATGGATGCATTACACTCCCAAAGTTACCTTTTGCAAGGATAAAATTAATAGTTCAACAAGTGTCCATTTCATCTGCACTTTTAAATTCTCTTGTAAATACATTTTTATTTTCTAAATGACACTATTATTTTAAATTGTGGTCTAACTATTTTTTTTCATACACAATCAAAAAAACTGAATCTCTAAACAGGAATGTTCTGCTTTTGGTATTATTAGACCATCAGCAGAAGGAGCAAAGTCCTGTTGATAGCATAATCAGTAGCACGGCCAATAACACTAATACTCTAAATTTATCATAACATTAGAGGTCCCTTCCAACCTCAACCATTCTGTGATTCTGTGACTATGTGACTGTTGTGTGATAAGTCCAACAATGAGTTCAGAAATACCAGTAGTACTTTTCCTAATATCATATTTTTCTCTATGTGGAACTGTAAAAAGGATGCACTGGTGGAAAAATATTGAATTGTGTTTTAAAGCTACCAACATGTAGCTGTTCCAACAGAACCATTTCTTGTAGAGACAATATTTATGCTTGAAATCTAATTCTTTCTACTTCTTCTCTTTATTTGGAGGACTCAGACTGTTCACATAGAAAATAAGAGATAAAACACAGTGAAAGAAACCAGATGGATCTCTCTTTTGAATCTCTCTCAAAGTTTCTAAAAAGGAAAAGAACACTGAAAATTTTTCTTGAATGGCCACTGTACCACGGTAGTGTTTCAGAGGAATTGCTGAACTCAGATCCTTGTTGCTGCATTTACCTGAGTTCTTCTGTAAATTTAGGCTCCAAAAGATATTTGGGATCCCAATTTCTACTGAAAGCAATGGATATATGCTTAAATTATCCAGGCTCCAGAAAGTTGTAGTTCTTAGCACTGAGTTCTTAACACTGTATGTGGCTATAACTCTTATAGAAAGACTACTTAGTGGCTTTTGGGCAACTGTTTCTATCTTCATGTGTGTTCAACCTTTGCCATTGTTTTGGTGAAGCAAACATAAAGAGAAATAAATATTTTTTCTCAATTAATTTATTATACTCATTACCCTATTGATTTTTTCTTTTTTCTTTTTTTTTGAAAAGCTTAGCGAATTCTCCATCTGAATGTGTGACATTCACACATGCTTAAAATTTCTTAGCAAAATAGTTTCTTTGTTCTCATTCACAGTCAGATTTATTGTCTCATATAAGAATCGTGGCCCTAATAAGAACTTGAATGACTCTTTCACTTCTTTTCACATTTTACAATGCCATTTTATGTTTTCAGGAGGATTTTATTCAGTCTTAACTGGAGACAAAATACTCAAATGTAGCATTGAGCCCTCCATAATATCCTCTTCTACAGATCCATCCACTGACCTGTGAATTTTGCTAGATAGCAAAAATGAGAGAGACAAGATGAGGAAGAAATTAATAATCTCTTCATCTTCTGTCTCAGGGGAAGATAAAATTGATTTATGCATGTGGAAATGATTTTAAGCCCCTAGGGCTGCAGGTTTCTCTAGAGCTGGAGGGGAGGGAAGAAATGCATTTGGGAAGAAACTACCTCTTCATTTTTTCTGCCTGCAATCTCTGATATAAGACATGATGTTCCATAAACATGTTTCTGTGATGGCAGAATTTTTTGTGGGTAGTATTAAAAATAATAACAAAGGTAAACTATGACTGCCTTTTCAGTTATGAATACCTAGAGGTACACTGTCAAGAGCTGGTCAAGAAAAGGAGAGAAATAACTGCACTCAGTAAAATTACATTCAAAAAAATTACTTCGTTGCATGCTTATTTTGCTTTTGTTAAGGATTCTGCAATTTTCTTTTCAGCTCTGTGTATACCTTCTGTGATTGGCAGTCTTGATACGCACCACGCTGAGATCAGTTTGCTGCCACAGAATCCCGCATGCCTGAAAAAGCAGAGTGTTCTTGGATTTACAGGAACACTTTTTTTGTTGTTGTTGTTCCTATTATCATTTATTATTGCATATAACTAATAAAATGAAACCTCAGAAAACCATGATGTGTTAGGCAAAAAAGGCAGGGGCCTTGCCAATCCCTCCCCTGCAGCCCAGTTTCAGGCATCAGCAGGACTCTAGGGTAATTTTTGGTCTTGGTATGGAGTCTATTTGAAAATAGTTTCAAAGCAAAAGTGGGTGATGGCAGTGAGAGTGTGCCTCACAGTCTTTGGAAGAAGATGAAAAGGGGACTGGGAACTGAAGTGAAGTTTGGCTCTTGCAGGTGTTCCAAGTTTCCTGATAAAGCTAAGGGATGTGTGGACTGGTTCCCACTGTTCTCAAACTTGCTCAGAGTGTGGATGTTGGGAGGCTGCAGATATATTCAGACACAAAGAAATCATTGTTTTGTTTTGGAGAGTTTATGTACACTATATAAGATACTTGCTCCAGGCCAGCCATATTTTATAATTCTGTAACATGTGTATATTTATACGCCTTATACAAATTTGATTTTACACTAAAATAAAAAACCATCAAGCAGTGTATTTGCTCCCACATTGAATCACTATTAGTTGGCACTTTTTAAAGAAAGAAACTGCTGAAGGAAACTAAAAGAAGCCTCCCTGTCTTGGGCCCAGGTATTGTGTCCCTGTCTACGGCCAGCAGCTTTCCTCCAACACTGAGTAGCAGGCTGACAACTATTGCCTCTGTGGCACACACTCACATGGAGGGATTGCATTATCAAAGGAAAGGAAAAACTAACCCAATCTCTTTAGAGTGTCTGGTCTCTAAAAACAGAGCTTCACTTTCCATGAAATTCTCACTCTCCCTGAAAAAAAAATCTCAAAATCAGGATGAAAGGATGGTAAACTGAAAAATCTTACTGGATTTGCAATTATTATTTTTGTCTGGTCAAATGAAATGGTCCATAGATGAAAGTGTAATATTGCAAAAAGTTTTCTTGTTTAATTTTGAACTCACTATACCAGTGAAATTTTTTTTAATGTAGGCATTAGACGAGCCAGCCAAGCCTGCTGAGGCTGAAGGCATTACTTTGGACACGCATTCAGAGGTAGTACTCTTATCACTTCCAAATCTCTCTTAAATCTCTATTTGAAAGCAAAAAGCAAAAGCTAATTGAGTGATGTGTCTTCCTTTTTCAGATGTGCTCTCCTGCCCAACTCCGACAACAAACAGAAGAGTTGTGTGCTGTCATTGATCAGGTCCTACAGGATCCATTGCCCATGGTAATCCACCTGTATGTGAGAGCGACCTTTTCTATTCCTCTCTTCTCTGCTTGTCATTAATGAATTCTCTGCTCTGTTGAAAATCATTTTTCAGCGCCGATGTGAATCCTCTCCAAGTTTCTTGCAGACGACCATGGAGTCAGATGTTGGCAAGGTAAATGAAAGACATGTTGACTGTACATCAAAAAAAAAAATCTGTCTGGGCGGTCATCAAAGCAAATCAAATAATGAGCATAAAGATAACAGAAAGTTGCAGTTAAAGGATGCAATGCCATTGGAAGTGCCTGGTGTTTTAAAAGACTGTAACCAGAGCTTTATCCCTGGAGCCAGTGCAGTCTCTGCTGCAGGATATTTCCCAAAGTCAGAAATTTTCATATTATGAGAGAAAAGCTGTCTATTAAAGTTTAAGAGAATAGGATCCACAAGCAGGAAATGTTCCACACCTTGCTATCTGTCGTGCAGAATCTCTGGCCCAGATTTTGTCCAATCTCTGTGCCAGAAGATTAATCAGTAATCGAAAAATATCTTTCAGAACAAAATTTTATTCATATTCAGTATCAGTTTTCAAATACTGAGATGATTCAAATGATTGAATATCTCTTAAGTGTTGATTTCCTTTTAATTCTGGTCACTCACAGCAGAATCTGTCTTTTACATCAGTTCATCCTGGATACCTCAGAAACAGGTAGGGAGAGGCAGGGACAACTTTCTATATTGGTGTTAAGCTTATGAGTAGAGTAATCAAATTTTGGCATATGTTTTTGAGTAGTAAAAATAAAAGAGTAATTTTAACTATAAATAAAGGATTTTTTTAAAAACCTTATTCTTTTTTATCTCATGAATCTTTCTGGGCAAGTTCAAACTGAAATTTTCTGGAACTTGAGAAATTAACAACTTGTCACAATTATGAAAATGTCTCTGAGTTTCTCCTAAACTCTTTGCTGTTAATGTGTGTTGATTTTGTATGCAGGCAGCAACAACACTGCAGAGAGTAGCTGGACGTGAAACCAGATATGTAAGTACTTTTGTAATGACTTTATGTTTTGTATGGAGAAATATCTAATTTTGTATGGCTCCTGATCTTGTTGCTACAGTAGAGGAGTCAGTATATAACAGACTGGCATCTTCTCATGACATGAGGTATGTCATGTCTCTAGTATGGGATGAGGAGGTCAGAGCACTGGCAATTGAGACTAGAAGTGTTTTACCATTGCTCTAAATCCATCATATCTATAACCTCTTCAGTGTGTGTTGATTGGTATTTTTCTCAATGTGAATTTGGTGTTAAAAAAAATTTACATTTTTCTGTTGATTTTTTGCTTTGAGCTCAGTGCAGGCACTCAGTTATTTGCCGGATTATTTACGGGGCTTAATTGTATGGAATTAGTCTTAACTGTAGGGGACTTGTTTCAGTAGAAGTCCTTTGGTTATTGATAATATAAAACTGGGGTTCACCAAATTTTCCCTTCCAAGGTGTAGAGCTGTCTGAAAACTCACAGCCTAGCCCTATTAATTGAATCTGTTTTGTCACATATACAGGCATTCAAACACATGAAGAAATTCTCTATATTAAGTCATCAGTTCAATTATGGAAACATTAAACTCAATTATCATTTTAATTCTGACTAGCACAAGCTCTTACTGCATGTTCCACATTCTACTTAAAACTTATCCAGTTATTTGGTAAGAAATGTCTGCTTACTATTCATCATTCAGACTTTCTATTGAACCTCATATCAAAGTAGTGCCAGCAAAAACAACAGAGACATTCTAGTTTTATGCCAGCACAATGCTTGACTGATCAATTCAATTTTGTTTCTTGAATGTGGTGATATGCATATTTTATTGCATGCTGTGATTTTTACTTGACAGATTGTGCAGGCTCATATTAATTAGAAAGGAGATTGGAAGAGTGTTTTTTAATGAAATAAAAGATCATGTTTCAGGCTAGTCTTTGAAAAGAAAATATATACTGCTGCCACTCAAGTATAGATCTCCAGCTCTGAAAACTGTGCCTTACTTACACCTACACAGGATAAATTCAGGCACCAACCTTACATGCATATACATTTACTTACTTATTTATTTATTTTTTGCCTGCAAAATCACCTTCATAAACGTTTACTTTCCAGGCTCCCTTGGAAATTTCCAGATAACAGAAACAGATCAATATTTTAAAAATCTGAAGAGTTGTTGTTATCTGAACAGTTATTGTTAGCTTGCTGGAGGGCACTACAGATGAGGAGAGGCTGAAAGAGCTGGAATTCACGCTATTGGTAATATACAAAACAAGACTGGACAAGGATCTGAGCAAAACGATTGAGATCTACCCACTTTAATGATAAAATCTTTAAGGATTCTTTAATGATTAAAATGTGAAATTTTGTTGCACTTTGAAAAAAATATCTCTATTTGTATTTAGTTGTACCTAGAGGTAAACTGGGAATGGTAATATTTAAACTCTCCTCACCAGTTGCATGTCGTTGCATAAGTGATAAAAGCTCCTGTACCTAAACATACTCTTGTCTATGCATTTTTCCTTTTCTTAAAACATGTTTCAGAAAAATACAGCTGAAATAACAATTGTGAATGCATTGCTTTTGCTGTCATTCAGGAATCATTAATCATCAGGGAAAATATTTATCTTTTTGGGTTACATTCTTGCATCGTTACTATAAGCACTACAATATTGTGTGTAATACTGTATATATTTCTTTTTTGCAGGCCAGTCTTTACAAATCAGCACCTATGGTGACAGAGAGTCAGACGGTATGTATTGCACAGCTCTGCTACGCCTTTTCTCAAAATTCACAGAAGCAAAAAATCTATAGTAATTATTATTTTCCTCCTTAACACTTCAAAAGAAAGTGCAGTCAATATCCACCTACACAGCTGAGTTGCTCCTACAGAGTTGCATTACTTTCCTCTGAACTGAGTTTAGTATAGTGACATTATTTATAAATATAATGCACCAAATGGCAAACCAGAGAACCTTGCTGAATCCTGAGACATATGATAACTTAATAGTATACTCCTGTTTATTAGACACTTTTCCCTTCTTTCTGTTCCCTTCTTTCAATTTTGTTTATATACAACAGCATTCTGACATCCTGCTACCCATACAAGCAGATTTAAATCAAAGATACAAAGCTCAGTGAAAAGCAAGAAGAAAATCAATAAAGAAAGAGACAATATGTTCCAGATTTTCATTTGAGTTCTCATCACATTTTAGTCCTCTTGAGGCTGCACTTTCCAAACAGGAGTCAGAGGAGAAGTCACATCTGTCCTAGTGATCATGAGCACTAAAAAATGTGTAGAGAAATAATGAGACGTGTATTAAATTTTCCCTGTTATATTTCAGCTAATGGAATTTTAGGGAGTTCCTGATTTTTTTTTCAGTTGACTATTCTCTGAGCAATTTGTCTTTCAAGTTGCTTTTTGAACCTTATTATACTTTGGTGTCTACAGCACTCTGTAGCAACAAGATTTACTTTTTAATTATGCATTGTGTGAACGAGCACTTTCCATCTTTGTTTTAAACCAGCTTCTTGTTCTCAGTTCTTGTTCTGAGAGAAACAACGAATAATTAAATGCTCTTTCTTCACTTTCTGAGTGTCATTCATGATTTTCTAGGTATTAGCCATAATTCTGTTTCAGTCACCCTCTCTGCATGCTGAAAGATTGCTTAATCTTTCCTGGATGGGCATGGAGACTGTCCCATTTCTTTGAATAATTTTGTTGCTTTTTTCTATCTCTTTTTCAAGTTTTTGGGATTGGGAGACTAAAACTATAAGCTGCCCTTGGATAACTCTGAACACAACACTTACTTACATGGAGTGATGAGATCCTCTGTTGGAATTTCTATTTCTTTTAAACATTTCTAATAGATTATTTGTTTTTCTTACTTCACTTGAGCAGTAAACAATATTTGCATAGAACTATGTGCAGGACACTGCTTGCAGCAGTTCTTCTGAGCTGTTTCCTTGCCAACCTGTGAAGAAAAGTCTTCCTGTGAAGAAAACTTAAGTGAAAAAATAATTTTCAGCCTTGCTTTCTTCTTTTTGGTGCATTTTTTAATGTTTTGATTATCTATTGGCCCTATAGGTGACATATCAGGCTTTTAGTTCTAAAACAATTTAGCAGAGTATTCCTCAAAGCCATTTTTATCTTGATGTATTATGTTTTTTTGATTGAGATGGCCAGATCCACTGTTTTCCATAAACCATATTTGAATATGACTTACAGGCCTTTGGAACTCATTCTCCATTATTCTTTTCTTTTCATTTCTAATTGCCTCCTTTCATGTTGCTCTTTAAACGTCCCAGAATTTTCTGATCTCTTAGTATTCTTAAACTTGATACATGCTTTCTCTGAAACTCCAATGTCTTAAGAAGGATTCTGGTCACATGTAAGTATTTTATCCTTTTAGAGGCTCCTTTTATTTTTATTTATTTTTAATAAATATTTTTATTATTTAATCCTGTATTCTGTTTCACCCATTTTAAACAGAGTTCACTACAGTGGAATTCTTGTGTGTGATTTTTGCTCAGGTAGGAGTGCTTTCTTCTGGGCACATAGTGATCTCTGTTAACGGATGGTTCTCCAGTAGTAATATTTTGAGTCAGGTATTCTGCAGTGTTTATGATTCAGTCAATAATTTCTCATCTTGTGGAGGCTCTGAACAATTTTTTATGGTGACTAAAAGTGTTGTATTGGCATGTGTCACCAAAGATAGTTTCATACAGCTTCTACGTGAGTAACTGAGTCTGTCATTGTGATCTTTCCTAAACTCTTTAAAAAATGATTATGAGTGATTCATGATAGCAGAGTGCAAGGCCAGACTAGAATACTAATACCAAAACACCAATAACACCAGTAGTCTGGTTATCATTTCTGTATATGAAATTCATCCAGGGCAAATTCTTCCATATCTTAGTACTGGTTTTCTAAGTCTTTTTGGTTAATCATAATGCTCCGTCAGCCATCCCTGGTTTTGAATATGTAATGGGAAGATTTATCAAAAAAATGTGTATATTCAAAAATAGTAGAAGAGAAGTCATATCTACATACAGCACTGAGACATGTATTTCTGTATTTTGTGAACATGTTTAAATGAAAGTAACAGAAACAGTGCAAGGCAATTTCTTTTCTGTCAAGGAACTGTGGATAAGGACTTGAAGCTGGACAGAGCCCAGAAATAAAATGATTTTAAATGCTTTAAAGGGAAGAGAAATATGAGAGAAAAATAGGTAGAGATCTTCATGATCCAAGAGTTAAACACAGGGTGTTCAAGTTAATATCTATATGAATTTCTACATTTTAATCAGTTCTGGGATGTTTTGGATGTGACTTGACAGCTCAAAGTATTTTTCTCTAATTCATCCATTTTGAAGTGCATATATTATTCAGGTCCCTGTCTTTAAAGGTGTTGAGCCCAAAGCTCCATGAAATAAATTAAATCATAGCTGAGAATACTAAACCTTAAGAATTATGAAACAATTGCATTAAAGTGGAATTGCACTAAATTCAGCATTTTTTAAGATCCACTGCAGGTCAGAATGGCATCAAATATAGTTGGCTGTCCCAGTGTACAACCAGGGTGTGGGGTGCATGTCCTCTTTTGCTGACCACCTACCTACCTCACAGGAATTCATGGCCTTTGAGCACTGAGGAACAATTGCCCAGAGATACTTTTGTAGTATCACCTCTCTACTTCATGAAACCCTGAGGTCAGGCACTGCTGATGAGAAATGTTTCTACTGTGCTGAAGAGTGGTCCATACAGAAACATCACACAATAAGGTAGAAAATGAAGCAGAATCTTAATAGGCAAGTGGAAATTAAATATGCACAAGAAGTGCAGACAGTCCTGTGAGTCTCTCCCTTTTCTCCATCTTTTTAAAAGAGGGAAAGACATGTCCCTGCTCTGTGAGTGGAATGGAAAAGGACTGGGACTAAACCTGCCTTTAATTTTAGCACTGATTTAGTTTAGCTGTGAGTCAATGGAAAGCATTACACAGTGTTACATCTGTAGACATCTTGTTGAAAAATTTTTTGTTTCTTGAAAGGCAAGTATTTCAGTAAGAACAAAAATAAACACAACCTGAATTTCAAATAGGTGATCAAGTGCAAGTCCTGCTGCTGCTCCAGCATGGACATGAAGAAAATAATTGTCCTTCTTCTCTGAGCTTTTCAAAAGTGATGTGAATAATTTACAATTTAGCCAGAGGGAGATGAAATCCTTTTAACTGTAGCCATATGCCTTCACACCTTCAAATATACTAAAGCAGAACTTTACTGTTGTCTGACTTACTACGTGGGATGTTTTATTGCATTACTGCAAATGTGTTTTTTTTTTTATAATGGTGCATAAACATAAACCAATACATTCAATTACATATTTCCCTCTGTGAAGATTATTTGTGGCACAAAAGAAATAATAGAGTAATATTTTAAAGTGATTCATAATTCAACTAGACAAAGCATCTGTGTTTGTACTGTAAAAATACAAACAACAAATTATAAAAAAGCATTTTTTTTTTCTGACTGTGAAAACTAACGCCCCTTCATGACCAGGATGCCAGTTTGTTTCTATGTGAAAACAGATGACTTTGATGATAGTTTAGAGGATCCTTGGTGGTTCCTCAGATGATTTGGACTTTTCAGTGCTTCCGGAAGGCGACCACACCATCTGGGGTTTGTTGCTTTCCCCATCTGCCTGAGACTTCCTTTCCCCAGTACTGCCTAAAGAGTTTGTTGGAAAGGTCTAGAAATGGTTGCTCTTTTAGGGGGAAGTCTTTAGATACCTCCTTCAAAGCAGAAGTGCTCACTATTTATCAGTGGACTCAAGGCCTATTTTGGAAATCTGCTCTGAATAAGGGGAAGCAAGAGTGACTCAGGTAGGAGAAACATGGGACCTAGAAGATCTCAGCTGAGAGAAATGGGGCTGCACCTGGGACCTTAATTGCTCATGGCTCTTGGGAAGAAATAGCTTTAAATGAGCTCTGAGAGACAACTAGTGCCGTGATGACAGTGGAGGAAATGATTGGTGAACATGCACATGTACCCACTGTCCAGAAGCTCAGTTCTCTGGCTTTCAAGAAAAGCACCAAGCCTGGCTCATTTTCATGCCACCAAAACATCCACCCCCAGAGAGGGTGACCACATCTGTACTGCCATGAGGTGCCCTGGGCCATCCTGTCTTCTGATTTGGCCCTGGCCACTGGGTGCTTGCTGCCTGGGGCCACAACCATGCTGGGAACACGCTGACTCCGAGTCACTGCTTGAGCTTGTGTCTTAGCAAATTGTGTGCACTAGTTAACTGTGTTTAATTTGCTAAAGACCATAGGCATGACAGTGCATCATTAGAGTAAGAATTTAGCAATTATTATTGCTAAATAATAATCATTACTTATAATGTGTCGGTGATAATGTTGCAAGGCCAAAACCTTCCCTGGTAATAGTAAGTTTCAGGTTGCTTTTTCGAACTCTCAGTCGTGCCATCTGCCAGCAGAGGAAGAGTTCGGATTTTTAGTTTTGGAACAGAGATGTGCATGTATTTGTGTATACATATATATATAGATGTGTATATAGGTATATATATACATCGCTTTGCAGGTAGCTTATAAAGTATTTTGAATTCTGGCTGCTGGCTGATATCTGTCACTCTGTTGGAAGAGTCAGACATAAATGTATGACTCATTCAGCTCTTGAGTGCACAGTGTTGTTTAGAAAATGTTTCTTTAAAAGCATTCTTTTGGAAGAGCTTTCCTGCATAAGGAGAGTAGCTCATCCTTGATGATTTCAGGTACCTCAATGGGCTTTTAATTGCTTAGTTACATGGTGCAGGGGAGTGAGGCCGGTCCTTTGTCTGCATAATGATGACTTGACAACTGCAGCTTTCATTTTATTTTTGTATTTACCTTTGTGTTGGAAGTCAGGAGTCTTTCACTTTTGCCAACTCTTCCCAGAAAGTCTTGAAGAGAAAAAAAAGAAATAATATATTCTAAGGTCATTCTTATGAAGAAAGAGTCGCTAATTCACAAATACAGGTTGATTAAATGAACATTGTATCTTTCACTAAACTGAATAGCATAATCAAAATGCCTCATTTTCTAATGCAACTTGACAGTCATTACTGTTTGTACAAAATTAGTATCACCTTATAGTTTGTTTCTTGTTTTCAGTTGAATACTTTTTCTATTTGATGAGACACACTAAAGGGCCCAGGCTTGGAAGGAGTGAGGACGTAAAGCACCAACCTCAGGGAAGATACTTCACTGCCTCGGCTTTGCTACTTCCACTCACATGGAACGTGCTATCCCCACTCCTTCCCACCTCCATCATCCTCCACTCAGCCCCTTGTCACTGCTCTGCAGATGAAGCAGTGGTAAAAACAAGACCTGGGTACATTTATTTTCTTTTGTGCTCTCCCCCTCCAACAGGCCCCTCTTGCCCTATCCTTGCTGGATGCCTGAAAATTTAATTTCAAGATAATCCATGATGTACTTTACATTATACATCTCAGCTGCAACACTTGTGCTTAACTTCATAATGCAATTTGAGACATCTTAGTCAGGTCACCTGTAATTTTTCTGTTACATTTTTGGATTCACTTTTGCTGTGTGGCTTTTGCTAATGCAAACTCAGGCTGCTGCAGCAAGGGGGCATCTTCCCTCCTGCTCTTCCCATGCTGCTTTTTTTCCAAAGCTTTGTGCCAGCTCCAGTTACCAGGCAGCAAGTGCAGAGAGCCACAATAGAGCACCAAATTTGCAAAGAAACATGTTTTCATCCAGATGATCCACACAAGGAGTGGGACAGGAATGTATGATGAGGAGGCTTAAGGTGTATAAAGTCATTTTTGTCCCTCTCCTTTTATATATATAGAACGATGATATTTTGTGTCTTGTTTGTCCTACAGCTAAATTCTCTTAAGCGGCATCTCATTGTTTTTTTCCGAACAGATTGCTTAGCTGAATTGCATTTGCAAATAGACAGCATGGTATAATTAAATGCACATTGTATAAATCACATAAATATTTCTATTCACCTAATATATGTACGCATTTGTATACACTACTGGGTACTGAGCATGGAAAGCTGTGACAGTACCTACAGCTCACTTCCATTTGGACAAATTGCCCCTCTGGGCACTAACTACAGCAAGAAATCAGTAGCTATTGTTATCTGCCCCTTTCTACTGTGTAGCCATGTTAGAGAAGAATATAACTGAGTTATTTAAAAGCTAATAGTCATAAACCCTCACAGGACTGCAGTACTCACCAAATTCCAGCAAGAATGTGTACGTTTTCCTCTCTTTTCTTTGCTTACCAAACAAGAGGTCTGTTTTAAAACCATTCCCTAGCCTCTGCTTAGACTTTATGTCACAGTCCAACATGTCGCAGTTTACTGTAAGAATTCTGAAAATCACAGATGTACTAAATTAACAAACTAATTGACAGTGTTCTGGTTAGTTGGTAGAAAACCAAGTTTTTCCTAATTTAATAACCATATTGGTCTGAAATGAAGCATATCACACACCCATGCTGATTAAAGTCCATTAAAGTGTACTTTTCCTTAAGTGTTCTAAACATTGTTGTAGTGTACAATAAACGGTGTTTTCTGCTAGCATGTTGCTGTTTAGATATAAGTCAAGGTAATGGCATCACACATTGACCATCCTTGTCTTGCAGTTAACATTTTGAGGAGTCCAGAGTGGAATTTGCAGAGTATAAGCAGACACATGCCTGTGCATAAAGTGTGACTTGATGAACTTATCAAGATGCAGCTGAACAGCTAGAAAAGCAGCCAGCAAAAACTATAAACAATAGTTTGACAGGCGAGTGTCTATTTATAAATCAGAAACAAGCAGATGCCAGGGATGAGGCTGCTGTGCATAAAAACAGCTCTTACCATTCCTCTTTAGAGTCTGTAGTAAAAGCAGTATGACACCCAAATCATTTTGGTGGTGAAACAGAAAATAAAATTGTAAAAATCTAGTCATTATATTCTCACTGGAATTGACTTTTCTAACAAATATTACACAAATTTTAAAGCTGTTAATTTTATTTCTATCTCTTTTCTCCTGGCTGTGCTATAGGTCAAGACCAAACCTGGTGTCATTCGTCCAGTGCTGGTGAAAGCACTGAAAAAGGAGGAGCCCTATCAACCAAACCCTTTTAAAAAGTACCTTGAAGAAATCAGTGATCAAGATACTGAGCAGGTGAGCGACTGTCACTTTGAAGTACTTCTTTTTTCATCTTGGCTACGATCTGTAAAGCTGACAGAATAGTCTTGGATCGTTGTTTTGCCCTGCTCCCTTGTTTTTGGAAAGTTACTTGTACTGAGAATGCACAGCCAGATGATCCACTGAAGGGTGTGCACTTAGGGGTACAGATTTCAGCAAGACCACTTTGAAAAAAAAAAAAACCTCGAACTTTGCTGACCTGTATAAAGTTTTGACTCAAAGAAACTATGGGTAAATGGTTCTGTCAGCCTATTCTATACAGAGTTGTCTGTGTATATTATTGTGGATTAAACCTTAGCTGCAATATGCAATTTGAATGTCCCTATAGGAACTTATTGTTAACTTATACAATATGTTCTGACTCTTCCATTTGAAGGGTAGGAAAAGGAAGCAATAGCCCTCTTGCAGGATACAGTGGGAATGCAATGCCTTTCTAATTGATTTTTTCTTACTTCTATTCCCCTCTAATCACATTAGAGCCAGACAGTAGCAATGCTGGTCCTCTATTCTTCAATCTTATGATTGATTTTTTTTTTAAATAGGTTATCATTTTAGTACTTTCTGTTCCTCCCCATAACTGGCTGGATCCTACTCTGACTTGCAGTAGGACAACCCTGGTGTTTCTCGAGAGTGTTACAAACAGGAGAGAATTTATCTGTAGTATCAGTGGGTTCTAGCAGCAAGTATGGGCAACATCAATAGTTTTCTATAGAATAGAGAATTTCTGTAAAATAGACATGCATTTTTAAGTACAGTTACTTTTCAGTAGGAGATAAAACACTCAACATCTCATCCTCACTGTAGAAAAATTAACATTCCTGAAGTTTTTGTGATAATAACCCATCCAGAGTGCTGAAGATGCGTGTAAGACCTCAAGATTTCTAGTTGCTCTCTCGGCAGAGAAGTTTTCCTGAGAGGCTGTATGAGCATGTGGGCTGGTTTATGGAAAAGATCCTTTCTGGTTCAGGAAGGTCGAGGAAGGATCAGGAGCGAGACCAGCCCTATCAGAAGCAGATATGGCAGGTATGGGATGGTAGCTTGGATCAGCCATTCTGTGGAGCACCCTCTCTGCTCTTTGAGGCTGGGCACCACGTTGAGCACTTTTTTTTTGCTGGTTTTAATGCCAAGATCTCCATGCATTAATGGATACATTCAGGAACTCCACCTCAGCTGTTTCAGCTGAATAGGGCTAGAAACGTGACCCTTGGGAATAACGTGCTCATGTGGACAAGAAGGAGTGGGCATGATTTGCAAGTAGCTTCAGTCTTTTTGGGCTGATGTCCTCTTGTGCAAAGGCAGAGTCTTTCATGCCCTTCTTAGGTTCTATTAAGAGCAGAAAGAAAGAGAATAGAAGCAAACACAATTTGTCCCTGAGCTTTTCAGGGTGACAGTGTACATGTCCTGGAAACCAGAAACACCTCCTGATCCTCAGCTGCTGTGTGGGCAGAGATGGGCAGACAAGCTGTGGGTCATTGCTGGAGAAGCTGTGGTTGGGGAGGCCCTGCTATATAGGCTGTGGCAGCTCCCACCTCCCCTTGTCAGTGCTGGGCACATGCCTCACAAGCTGTAATTTTGCTGATGGAGGAATGATGCTGTTGCCAAATTTGTTACCTCAGAAAATGATGTAATTAATGTTACTGCCATTCTCGGAGGCTTCCTTGCATCTGAAGCTAATCATGAAGAGCAGCCCAACTGTTGCTCTTGGGGAAGCTGTTCTGAACTCCTGCTCTGGGCTAAGCTCCAAGCTGATGATGTCCATGGAGCCCTCCAGACCGCCTTCCCATCAGCCCATGTTGTGCACTGTGAGCTATACACACTTCCTTCTCTCCCGACGTTTTTCAGATCTCCAATTTATAACTGTGTATGATATAAATTATTTATGGCAAATATTAGTGAAGAACAGATGATGTAATAAAACAGTGAATAATGAGGTTGTTATAACAAAATCCAAAATTATTTCGTATAGAAAGTGTGAATTAAAGAGAATTAAGAAAATTCACTGACTTTGCTAGGAGGAATAGTTTATATTTCATATTTTATATTTTATATTGAATACGAAAAGGAATTTTTTGTTCCTTTATTTAAAGAAACAATTTGCTCTACTTTAAAGTTTTGATAAATTAATATTTGTATCTTAAACCAAGACATATAATAGATTGTGGTAAAATATTTGTTATTTTTGAGATATGTATTAGGATATCTCTGTTCTAAGAATGATGACACTACTTAGGCCTTTATTCAGAAGGAATCACTGATTTAAACAGACTGATTTTATTTGTGTGAGTGATGGTTATATAATTTTAGTGGCAATCTAATACATTATTAATTAGTATTTAATACCCAGATCTGAAAAAAAGAAATACTGAAGAACTGACCAGCGCAGCATATTCTTACAGTTCAGCACTTACCTGTCAGAGTAGATCCTTGGTGCTGGTAGAAGTTTACTGTGAGTGGCAGAGAATGAAGTGCCCACATGCGGGTGACAACCTCCAGCATGCCCGAAGCAATCTTGACGGGTTTTAGTGACTGTCATAGGGCTGCAGCACAATCTATGGAATTGGGCTTATTGCCCAGGCAACAGCTTGAAAATTGTAGTGCTTAACTCTAACCACTGGATCATTAGCACATAAAGATAGTCATTCTTCCCCTTCCTCTGTGTTCGGGAGTTTGCATTTTTGGCTGCCTACTGGCTGACTTCCAGAGGGTGGGAGGTATTGGAGGTATTCCCACTGAGACTGCCCAAAAGGCAGCTAAACTGTCTATGAATCAAAACTATGAGACCTAGCAGTTGGGTTCTCTGCCTTCTGTGCAGGGACTGATGCTAGTCCCTTAGCGCTTGGAAAGCACTCAGCAGGCATCTATGTAACTGAGGACAGCAAGATTTATTCTATTACCGATTTTCCCTGTTTTTCCTTGGAAATCTTCCCAATGATGTTAGGAGGATTTACATTTCTGCATTTCTTTCCTTTCTCCTCTAATGGCATTGCCTGAAAGTGCCCTTCAAAGTCTTCTCACTACCCTCCTTCACTCTGGAGGTCTCTACAGGACACCTCTGAGGATGGACTGAGGGTGCCATCATTGTTAGTCGCCTTTATTAGGCAGCTGTTTTCATGCATATCATCTGTAGGAATAGCTTTTCATTAATCTACATCATACTTTACTTGTTTTGAATTATACTCTGCGAAGTGAGAAAATAGTATATTGCTTTACTTTGAATAAACTTTCATGTTAGCAAGATGTGTAACTATTTTTTTGGGCCAAGTTAAAAAGAGATTTATAAATTGGTAAGGAGCCTCTGCAAATGATGTGGAAATATAGCTAATAGTTAGCTTTTTATATCTGTGATTTGGTCCTGCTGTATATAGACTGCCACTAGTGTGCCAATAAATTTTAACTACTAGGGAAAAATCCTATTTTATTTTATTTTATTTTGACTTTTTCTCATAATAGCTGATGTTGTCTTCCTTTTCTTTTCCTACTTGTACATACTTGTAGCACTGCCTTTTCAGTAGATATCCCCTGTCAAACATTGTTACAGAGTTTAAATTTCAGAGATACAAAACTGTCATAATTAAGCTTCCCACATTTTTAGCTTCCCTTAGTGGAGATGCTAATTACCCCATCATGAGAAAGAATATTTTTTTCCCATGTCTGGTGCTTTTCAGTGATGCTCCGAGAATTTTGCAAATATGCTTCAATTTGTTACAAAAAATACCATAAAAGAAATCAGAAGTATATGTAATTTGTAAACAGCACTGACATGGTGGTTTCATGAAAGTTTCCACTTGAAAATGGGGAATTAAACTATAGCAAAACATGAAACCAGATGATAAAGAACACTAGAGAATTCATGCATTTACAAATGTTCATGGACATGCATAGGCTCCTTTGTGGTTAAAAATAAGCTGCTGCAGGATATGGAAGAGCAAGATAGGAACGAGTTAATGATGCATTTGCTAAACTTGGATGAAAGCCACAAGAACAATTTGGCAAATTTTATCACTAATGGAGCTGGGACTCAGGAGTCCGATAAAGAGCTGCAGGAAGCCAAGCTAGTGAAGGCAGAGCTTCTGTTCCCCAGTACTTCCCGGCTGCTCGTGCTCCCCGATCCATCATTTACTTATGCTCTTTCTTTTCAAAGCTCTTCTCTTTCTGTGGGTAATGCATTGCCTTCTTCTGGAACTAATTGTGTCTCTTTTCACAAATGTTGTGGGTCGTGAGTCCAAAGGCAGAGCAAGGCGAGGAGCTTTGCTTTGGCTGAGACTCAACTGGCCAACCTGGTGCAAATCCTGGATGCATATCCATGGCCCAGCTGAAACCTAAGCAGGAGACTTATGCCAAAAACTGGGAATGCCTCCCTGAATCTACCCCAGATCTTTTAAAATAAATTGCTTTAATGGATCGTATCTGCTTTGGGTGAAAAGACCATTCAAATATGACTTCTTTCTTTCCGCATACTCTGTTAAACACTGGCGACTTTCAGTAATAAAATATGGTGTGTGTGTGCGCCTCCTCCAATTTAACTCTTAAATGCTTGAAAGAACTTGATAAAAGCTTGTTAGAAAGATGGAGATGCTTCATGGATATCCACAGATAAGAGGGGCTTGCTTTTGTGGAATGTATTTGAAGGATGTTGTTTCCAGATTGCCCTTACTTCCAGTCTATTCTCTCAGAAAGCCACCTGAACTGTGGCCCTGGTATCCTAGCACAAGATCATTTGTGCTTTCCTTTGCCAGCACTTCAACTGTAGTTGAGCTGCAGGAGGAAGGCGCAGCCCAGTCCGAGGGTCACAGTTTTAATGGAATATGTACAGCAGTTTTGTGTGCGTATGTGTGCATGTCTGTAATCGTTACGAGGGAGGTGTCAATAAAAGTGCTCAGTGTAAAGCAGTTATATTGGCATGAAGATAAGGTGCCTTTCCTAGTTAATCATCACACCCTATAAAATGTAAGATCCAAGATGAGACTTTTGCTTTC